CACTCAGCTTCGAAAAATTCTTGGCTCTTTGACAATTAAATAAGATATGATTTAAATCCTCCTCTTCCTCTCCACAAACAACACAGATTGAGTCAATATCCATACCTTTCCTCAAAAGTTGATCATTAGAACTCAAATACCCAAACCAACACCTCCACAAGAATTTTTTTATTTTGGACTTGATGTTCAGCTTCCAAGTTGTTTTCCACATCTTAGCCAAAAGCAATGGATCTCTGCTTGAACTTGCCCACTCCTGCTTTCCTTTGCATAATTGCCTTATAGACTTCTTTGATTGAAAATTCTCTCTTTGGATGCCAGTGCCAAATAAGTCTATCTGGACCACCAGTAATAGACAATGGGATTCTAGAAATAATCTCTACAGTCACAGGCTCAAAAGTTTGATAAATAAGATCCCTATCCCACTCTCTACTACCCTCCCTCAACAAATCCCTAACCTTAACTAATCTATGTCTGTCATCAGAAAACTGGCACACGGGTTTAAAAGGAGGATTATTAGGAATCCATGGAGAATCCTAAATAGAAATACTAGTCTGCCAAAAAATCCAAGGAGACTTTTCCACAATCAAGAATCCTGAGGCTTGGAATTCACCTAAAAAATACTAGTCTGCCAAAAATATTTACCTTTAATAAGCTGGCCAACTAACAAATTGGGTTGAGTGATAAATCTCCACAACTGTTTAACCAACAGAGCATCATTAAATACAGTGAGATCTTTAAAACCCAACCCACCCTTATCCTTATCCCCCACTAATCTATCCCACCCAGCCCAATGAATCCTGTTACCTCCTCTCTCATCCTGACCCCACCAAAAATTAGCAATATCCTGACACAATTTCTTAACAATGCTTATAGGAACTTTGAAACATGACATTATGTAAGTAGGAAAAGCATTCAAAACAGCTTTGATCAATATCTCTTTCCCACTCTCACTCAAAAACTTGTTTATCCAATTCCCAATTCTGTTTTGCACACACTCACTCAAAAAAGTGAAGGTCTCCTCCCTCTTGTTTCTACCAATCCCTAAAGGTAACCCTAGGTATTTGGCAGAATACA